CGCAGAGCGGGGTCGGCGGATTTGCATTTTGTCGTCGTGAAATGTCTTGGTTTTGGGACCCGAAATTCTCTTATTTTCCACAGTTGCATGCGGGGGCTCCAATCCAGTACTTGTCGTCGTTTTTTGGCGCCTGAATTTGCCTACCGTTGACCGGCGTATGCGTGTTGTCCTCGCAACTTGCCCATCTGTAGTGCTTTTGGATCCCGGATCCTCTGACTGTCCACCCCGCAGTTGCCCTCACACAGTCTATTTTTCCCTTTTTTGGAGTCTCCCATTGCCAAGTTTTAAGCCCTAACCTTGAAAAGCCTCATCCATCCCCAAACCTTAGCGCTTTAGCTTGAATTGTGTACCTAAAGCCTTGAACCCTTAACTTTAATGCCAAATTGTATACCCGAAATTGAGCTCAAATGCAACGGCCCTCAACCCTAGCCTTATTTAGATTTACCAACCCGAATGTCACCGTAATTTCCTACGCTGCCTGTAAACCGTATTACAAAAAACGGTTTTAACCGTAACCACCATGACCCTACCACGGAACCGTAAACACCAAACCATGAAACTGAACCGTATATGAGCGCTAAATCTGACACCCCGTACTAAATGTGCCTGAACCGCGTACCCAAAGCCATGAACTCGAAAACCGAAATCCGAGCCCTGATGGCAACCATTTTATAGACTGACCTTGGACGCTTTAATTGATCACCCGTATCCCGCGCCCACACCCCAAACCTTAAAATATGAATTTTGAATCCTGAGGCCATAACCAGAGCAGAGGTTGCAAGTGATCTTCCTTCTCTGCAGAAGTTACAAGTGACCCTCTCTGTCCTGGTGTCCGCTGTGTTCAAGCAGAGCTCCCCGGGAGCCAAAAGGGAGCTCAGCTGAGCGGCTCAGCCCCGGTCTCTGCTCGTGGTCTCCCCGGTCAAGGACCCAGAGGATGCTGCAGCTTAGACCGTATGGTTTACCTTTTTAGCCTTTCTTCTTCGAGTTGCGTGACCCTTAGGCTGCTGCGCAATGCCCTATGAGATCTGCGTGAAAAGCCGGCAACAGAGAATCTTGCTACTGACAGTCGAGGACGACACCTGCCTTTTCAAAGGAATTCAAAGGCAAGCGCGCGCACAGGAGACCGACAAGATCCGTGATCTGAAGCAGGACGTCAAGGTGCGCTTGTGGCAGGAACTGTGCACAAAGCGCGGCACCAACAGTATTTGCCTCAAGTGAGGCCAAGGTGGAAGAAGCCGCTTTCCAGCATTGCGTGAACAAACAGAGCGCAGTTGATACGAAAGCTCTCAGGATGAACCCTTGTACTTCAATGGGCTGGAGCTGGCTGACGAGGAGCAACACACATTTTGATAAATCGTGCCCTGTGACCACACGTCCGCCTCTTGGGAGGAAGCAACTCTCTTAGAATACAACATTGCCCATGGCTTAATCTCAATTCTGAGGTACAAGCCCAAGCACATTGTTCATTGCATTCATGATTGCCGCTAAGGTACCAGACGAGTGCCCTGGAGGTCCAGTCCTGCACCTGGGCGGTTGCACGACCTTTGACATCGAGCGCCTCGGTCGTTTTGCACGCTTTATGGATGACTCGTCCTGGCAGCTTCAGGCATCTTCATTGTGCTTTTGTGGTAGGGCATTGCATGGCCCCTGTGAGTGTGCAAGCTGGAGGGGCACGGTTTGATGGGATCATGAAAGTTGTCCACGGAAGACAAGGTGCGAGCTCCCTACCGGACGACAGCTAAAGGAGCATGTCACCAACGACACCACAGTTGCGCAGCTGAAGGGCCGCATCACTTCGGAGGCGTTTTGCTTGGATGGGCGTTCCACAGCTTCCTTTCTAAGCTATCAGGCCGGCATCCCATATTTGTGTATGAAGCTCCTGGATGGCAACCTCGAGCTCCGCGAACCTGGGCTGAAAAACAAGGAGGTAGGGGTATCGCAGGCTTTGCTTGGAACACCGACCTCGAAGGACCCCGTGCCGCTGCGGCACTATGGGCTGGCCGGACGGACCGTGCGGGTCCTGACCCGCCAGCTTTATGCCGGCCCGGCTGCATAGCGGGCTGCAGAAACTTGGGATGTGCAACGGCCTTGGTCAGCGGCTAAAGAGCTGAAGCACCGAGACGGAATCTTCCAGAAGCTGGCTGGTTCAGAAAGGGAGGGTCTGTCCTGCCTGTTGTGCCGAGGCTGTACAAATAAAGGGGTGGAGCACTACTGTGACCGCATGATGGAGCATTCAATCTTTTGCACTGTCCCGCAGCATTTGCTCAATTTGAATGTTGTTTGTTTAATCAATGGCACTGTTGCGGATAGTGAGTGCTGTTCTCACATTGCATATTCCGGAGCTGGCTTGCACAGCAGCCCCTGAAGAGCCACTAGTCACTAGTGGGGACTTGTTGAAGCCATGTTGGCTTGCTTGCATGAGTGTGGCACCTGGGAAGCTTGATGCACCAAACCGACCAGCACGCCATAGGCCGCCTTTGCAGATGCGGTAGGATGCCGTAGGTGTTGCGTAAGCAGTCTGGCAGTGGCAGGCTTGCCTCATGACGTACCAGAGTCCACTGAGCATGGCACCCAGAGCTGGAGCAAATTGGACTTGTATAGGGTCGTGCAGCACAGCAGGCGGCCATGGGTGGAGCGTCAGCTGCGCTGGACAGAGGTCTTACAGGGAGCCTTGCCAAGACGGACTTTCATTGATGTTCTTGGCATTGAGGATTTTTTGGATTTCACGGAGATTGTGGCAGCGGTCTTCGTGCTGCTTTTCGAGCATGGCCAAAAGGCAGACCTTCCAGTGCACAGATGCAAGGTGACTTCTCAACAAGCACTCACGAAGATAATCGTTCAGCAGCAAGCCTGCACTCTGTTCGCATGTGTGACATGACACTCAGACATCAAACATGAATGTTGGTTTGGCGTGCTTTTCTGTTGACTTTCGGCGGGGCAGTCGTGGGAAAAGCTACACTGCGAGCGCTGGGTAAGAAAACAATTCAGTGAGCTTAGAGGTCACTCAATTTCTCGGCTTGCTCTACCATCAGAATGCGGCTTTCGAATTCCAGTGCCCACTCATTTTCTTAGTACTTTCTGAGTCTGCAGCAGCATGTGCAGGGAGCAGGTGCTAGTACCTCCGCTTGGCGTTGGGGTCATGGGGTCCCTGTAGGGGGCTCCATTGGAGGACGGCAGGGATGTGGAGAAAGTGTTACGATTTGGACCACGTCAACTCCATTTGGCAAATAGTGTTAAGCAAATCAGTACTTATTTTCTTAACCGTATTTTTGGATGGATTCGGACCCCAAGGGGGATGGGAGGCTGGGAATCAGGACCCCAAAGGTAGACAAAAAGTCTAGAAAGGGTCCGAACGTTAGAGGGCACTCATTTTCTTAGAAGGGGCAGTGGAGATGCATATGTCTAGATCCAGAGCACTGATTTTCTTAACCAAAGCTTTCTTAAACAGAGCCGGGGCCGTAGAGTTGCTTTGACTAGGATGGGGGGATGGCCACACAGCGGAAAAAATCGACATCATCCTGCCTGAGGAAGTAGATCGCTTAAGCGATTTCCCATTGGTCTACAACATGCTGCATTTCTGTCAGGAGGAACTCGCACTCCGCGTCAGTGAGGCAGCGCTGTCAAGAAGCTTGAGGAGTTCATGCTCAGAACGAACCTTACCCAGTACATCAAACACAACACTCACATATTCCTGAGCTTGGTTGTGTTGCCTAGCATTGCTACTCCTAGAGCTTAAGCTCCTTCACTCTTGTGCGTGCAGGCAGGCTACCAAAGTGGATACATCGTGCACGTCAAAGAGGCATGAACCGAAGCACACCGAAGCACATACTGTACTGCCACATTGTACCTCCAGCTGCCACCTTGGCCCGAAGGTCTCTGCATACAGCTTCTCCGACTTAAAGGCCACACTTCCGGTGGCGCTTAAAGCAAAGCTGAACCGCTGAACCGACACTTGCATGATGTTGCTATAGACTCGCAGCAAGATTCGCAGCTAGACTCGCAGCTGTTCGCAGGCCGCGGCTGGCCAGGGGAGTCCTTCAGACCCAGGAGAATGGCCTGTACAGGCAACGCAACATGAGACCCTCTCCCGCCAAAAGAGTCAGCGGGAATGACATGCGTCTTTGCATCTTCGAGGTCATGGTTGTGAAGGCCAATTCTTTGCAAGAAACACTAGATCACGGACGATAAAGTGCAGTGGAGCATCATCAGGACGGCTACGAATCCCAGCCTACTTCTAAATCAGGTGCCTTGTGTTTGTTTTGTTTGGGGCGGCTTCAGTCATGGATTCATGTGTGCAGGTTTGGAGCTGATGGTGAATCTGTGCCGCAGCGATGACGGCGACGTCTTGAAATTGCTTGGCCGGAATCTTCCTCAGCAAGCCCTGGGCCCCCGCAAGTTTGAAGAGGGAACAAGCTTTGAGGTCGGAATCCCTTGCTCAGCGGGTGCAGGCTTTGTTCTTATTAGGATGCCACCTCATGTCGATCGGTCAGTTGATGAGAGGAGCATTTCAGCCGGGTGGTTCGCATGGGCCGTTCCATTACCTTCGCAAAGATCAGGGACTGGAAAGCCTTGCAGGAGGGGCTGGCTCCTTTGCTTACGTTTGGGCGTCCTGGCATCAATTCTTGAAAGGAGCACCAGGTCCTCAATTGCTTCAATGCCACCACGACATCTGCCAGCACAACGACTTCAGTGCTGGACATCGTTGCGTGCAGCGCGGAGGTTTGGCCGCAGCGCATCGCTGTGGAAGGTGCCGGGGTCGTGGCCCCAAACAAAGCACTCATGGTGCTACGCAAGGCATGCCGCCAAGCCGTGGCGAAACTCAGGCTTTGACGTACCACCAGCTCTGGTCCATAGCTGGCCGCATGGCGATCGCAGCCCAGCAGGCAGCCCTGCCACCACTGCCATCATGCTTCATGCTGCTTCATTGAGCACCTTGCTTGGTGCTGGCAGACTTCATGCGAGGCATGTGGCAGGGCAGAGGTTGGCAAAAAGGTGGCCATCCTGCTCCAGCGTGGCATCTCCATGGCACCGCCCTCGTCGTAGGATTCCCCCTCCAAGAACAGGTAAAGGTGAAGGCCGGTTGACAGTACAGCAGGGTGTACTGTAGACCAGGTGGTGAGTTGTTTTGGAATTGCTTCAAGCTCTGCTGCGGCTGCTCCCAGGTGTTGGCACTGCTGGGAGTTTGGCGCTGGCATCTCAGAGAAGTTTTGGCATATCGAACCACTTGCCTCCAAGCCTTAAGCAGGGAGCAGGTTGGACTAAGCTGTTGCCAAGGCGCCGGGGGCGTATCGGTGCCTCTGGATCTGCGGGCTCCAAGGCCACGACTGGTCGGGCCCCGTGGAACGGCTTTAACTCGGAGTTGTTGCAGCTTTTCAAGCGCCGTTGCTGAGGAGCAGATGCTTCGAGATGCCGAGGCCAGACTCTGAATGCAAAGCAATTTGCTACACTGCAACAGACAACAACTCTGCAACGAGCCTTACGCTAAGGTGCGACTTGCCATCACCAGCCATGAGCTGATGCTCACGTGGCTGCCATGCCCAGTTCTCCACATGGAAGACATTGAGAAGGATGTAAAAATCGAAGGCGCTCTTGTAGACTAATGCTTGCATTTATTGTGAAGCCGCAAATGCGGTTTTGGTGGTGTTCAACAGGTGCCTTGGAACCTGTTGCGTTTGCGTTGGATGATATCGCTGCGGCCCCATGTGGCTCCGTAAGCCTGGGTGCCAGCTGCAAATGACAAAGGCCTATGTTCTCTTCACCAGCGGCTCAACTGGAGTGCCGAAGGCCCAAAGGGGCCCAAAGGCTCAAGGTGCAAACATGTGCTCGGTGCAGCTGTGAGACTGCTGCTGTCAGGGGGTGCTCCTCACGCACCAGAATATCTTGGCGTACACCAGGTGGCACGTGCCCTACTATCAGCTGACGCAAGAGGAGCCGAACTGTTACTGTGACAGTTGCACTGCTTCTGGAGAATTTTTGGAGAGCAGGGCCGTTGACACAGGACCGCGTCCCACATGCAGCTGGTCTCTCCTTCGATGCCTCCATTGCGGAGCGAGTGGTCAAGGGGGGGGGGGGGGGGTCGGGCGTTCCGAGCGAAGCTGCTGACGCCACGGAAGCCGGCTTTGGAGGAGATTTGGCCAACTCTGTGTGTAGGCGGCCTCGAAGCTCAGACTCAGGAAATTCAGCAGTTTCAACAGTTCTCTGCGCTCTGGATGTGGCATGAGGCTGCATCCTTCCCGTTCCGGATGAGAACATGCGTTTACTCCCAGAGGTGGGCTGAATGCCTCTGCATGGCTTCTTGCAATGGAAGCATGGAGCCATTTGAAAGCTTTCAGGCGCTTTGCCAGTGGTATGCTGAGGCGCCCCGAACACATCAGTGCCACCTCAGGTGCAAGTGCTTGTGGGACGTTTGGAACGTTCAGGCAAAAGTTACAGTGGCTTTTTTGACAACCCAGTTGGCCGAGGCCCTGCAGAAAGCCGTATGACTTCTTCTGATTTTGTTTTAGGTGACCTTGCTGCAAGGCTGTGCTTGCGGAACCTCACTACCCAGCGATGAGGCAAAGCCTTTCTGGAATTGAAAGAAAAGGAGTCGGAGCATCGGAGCATCCCACTTCTGAGAGGCTCCGAGTTCTGGTGGGAACCTTGTCCTGCCATCGAGAGATGTCAATCCGTGCCACCGTGCCAGCGCCCACTGAGTTCACGGGTGGCGAGAAGCTCCATGCGATTCCTCCACCCTACGCCCCCTTTCAGCTGGTGAACATCTATGGCTGCTGGGCAGGAGCGCGAAAGGCCTGTACAGGTGGGGGGATATAAACGCTCAGGTCCGACTGAGTGCTGCGTGAATGTTACGATGCCGTGCCCTGAGACGGCTTGAACCGTTCAATCGTCGTGCAGGGCCGGAGTTGGCTAAAAGGTCCCAGTGACGTGGCCAGATATGGGGATATATGGGTTGATGGATGTTTATGGGGGAGAGGTACCAGATATTTATAAACATTATCTCAGCAACAGACCCCAACAGCGATGGAACATCACCGCAGTTGTTTTTTCCGCCGTTAGCTA